TGAACATCTGCTTGTTGTGAAGCTTTTGTGTTTGTTGTAATCTAAATGAGTAAAAAACTTAGTTGGAGGTGTTTATTAGTTCAAATATGTGTGAGCTGTTGTTACTTATCTGGTAATTTTAGGGTTAGACAAAATTGTCGAATCGAATAAGACCCGAACTGAAGCAAACCGAGCGGTACTTTTTAAGTTGAATATCCGAACGGATATCTTAATCGAGAATCGACGTTTTGATTCGGTTCTAGACCAGGAACCGAATAAGAACCGACCCTCCCTATTTTTTTAAAATTTTTGTCTTAAATAAGTCAAAAAATTTTATTTTTTTTCTAAATAAATTTATTAACTAATTACTTTAGTCCAAATCCAAAATATGATTTTACTATTTCTAATTCCCAGTCAAGCCCAAATTAATCAAATTTTATCAAAATCTCTCATTTTACCGTAGTGCCGTTTATGTCGTTTTATTATTATGAGCTCGCTATCTTTATCTTCCTTTGATTTTGACAATCAAATCTATGAAGAACTCGACAAAGAGAGATGCAAAAGATATCACGTGATTGGATTACGTTATTTTGTAGAAGTAAAGATTGAACATGTTATAGTTGAATTAATGTAACATTGTTGTGTGTGTGTGTGTGTGTGTGTGTGTGTGTGTGTGTATATATATATATATATATATTATTGTACGAAACTCGGAAATAAATGGAACTTAACCGAATGGTTCCACCTACTAAATACCCGAAAATTCTGGTTAAGAACTGAATCGGACCATGTCCAGCCCTATGTAACTTTCTCAAATATGATTTTATTTCACTTGATTTCTTCCCAAGATCCAGTTCTTCAGCGGAGAATTGATTTTATGCTTTTGTTCGTCCCATAATTTTAATACTTAGTATTTAATTAAACGGTCCAGGAGAAGAAAGAAAAGAAAATTTGTAAAGCAAACGTGGATCCTCTTTCCCTCTACCGTTCTCAAACTCTTGCTGATTGAGTTTAATCTGCTAGATTCTGAGGTGTTTTTCAAACAGATATTTTGTAATTCATCATTTTCTGCTTCAATTGCTTATGATGTGTTATAACTTATGGTTTAGACTTTCTACTAAGGAAAAAGAGATGGTTTATTAACACATGTAGTTCACGTACACCTCACCAAATATTATTTTGTTGAGGTGGGTGAAATGGTTTCAACTAATATTTAACTATCAAACTATAGTAGAAACCTGAAAATGGAAATGATATATATGATCGAAATGGAAGGTAGTACTTTAATGACAAGGTTTCCCTTGTGCTGATCTCACCTTAGTTGTAAATTCACATGCAATTCCTTATAATTCTTATCACTTCAAAAAAAATTATATTGTTCGAGAGAAAATTATGAATCCTAGCAAGATATATAGATGAGATGATGTTAACTTTTCAGCTCGTTGTGACGTACGTGGCCTAGTCAGGAATTTGATTAAAGTCGGAGAATTGAAATGAATCGTATGTTCTACCAATATTTTTGTACTTACTATTTGCCTTATCAAATTTATTGGAAATATATTTCAATTCTTTACGTGCTGTCTCCGGAGTTTTAAGCCCTCGCTTGATGTCTTTGAAGAGAACCCATAGCATAGGGGAAAGAAAAATCATCTCGACCGTATCTATCGTTAAATCTGTCGGAGATCAGAGTGCTAAACTTCACTTATAATGTCTAGATGGAAGAGCAAGATCCCTCTGTCAAGAAAGAAATAGTCGAACCTGTCGTTTCATGTACCAATGGAAAGCAAAAACACTGTTAAGCTGAAGAATTTTTATTCGATAGTTTATAATATTTCATAATGATAATAACTCAGTTCCTTAAATAGCATGTACATTGTGTGTATACGAGCAAGTTATCGGAATCAACAAGATTTTGCGTGGGATGGAGGAGGTGCAAAGGCAAAGGGTTTGTCCTTTTTAGGTTTTAACACGACTCTCCCCATATTGGATCCACGGTCTAATTTCTTCACCTGTGTCTGTCCCTGGGGTGGCGATGGTTAGCGCTTCCTCCATGTCTCTGGTTGTCACAGACTTCTTCTACTCGACCTACTTACAAATTCACAAGTCAAACTATTTGTTAACAAATTATACTCAGAAAGAGTCATTACTTTAACAAATTAAACAAAATAAATATTTAAAATTGCCACAAAATGATCCATGGGTCATTTGCTGGTTTTAGCCTCAATAGAGAATCATAAAAAGCAAGCCAATATCTTTCGAATCAAATTCATCACAACTGCAAGTAATACACACCTCCAATATTTTAAAATTCGAGGGGAAATCGTGAGACGTTAAAACTGTCACGAGTTGCATTAAGTTTCAGGAACTGAAGGCAAACTACAATATTCTCAAAAGATTGTAACTACTAATAGAAACAAAGTTACAAACTTTACCTTCTGTACATAAATATGTAATCTACTAGAGTCTTGGGGGAAGAAATAATGTCACTCAAATCTCATCCACCAGAAAAAGAGCCAATGTTCTCATCTTAGTAAATTTTGAAGACACAAATGAAATTGAATGGTCCATAGCAAAAGCATCAGGGAAGATACAAGGAGAAAATTTGCGAGGAAACCTGCCAATAATTTAAATGATACGATGTCGTAAGCTTCACCGAAAACAATTAAAATAGGTTGGATATGTGCTGCAGACCATCATCATGTCTCTGTATCTTCGGGACTTCTACCCAAGTCGCCTGGATTAGACAGCACAGTCTCGGAACCCTGAGGGAATATTTCAGATTGTAATGATGGAAACATTTTATTCACATGCAACCACGTCTGTTCCCAAATGCTATCTCCACCTAGAGTACTGGTAGGTACAAGCACTCCATTTGTCTTCATTACAAGCAAGGTGTTCTTTAGAAGCTCGGGAACTAATTCTTGCAGCTTCTCGCGTCTCTTAACTTTAAGCTTCTTATATTTTTCCATTCGACCAATGACATTCCGCCAATGTTNACATAAACTTATGAAAGTATTGGAGGCTGTAAAAGCAATCAATTTCATTAAACTGCGATTTCATTGCTTGTGTTCTTTTGAACGCTAACATTACCTTCGAAATTACGTTGCCCGTGCATTGCCCGGGCGACAAGCTAGTATTCTCAAAAGATTGTAACTACTAATAGAAACAAAGTTACAAACTTTACCTTCTGTACATAAATATGCAATCTACTAGAGTCTTGGGGGAAGAAATAATGTCACTCAAATCTCATCCACCAGAAAAAGAGCCAATGTTCTCATCTTAGTAAATTTTGAAGACAAATGAAATTGAATGGTCCATAGCAAAAGCATCAGGGAAGATACAAGGAGAAAATTTGCGAGGAAACCTGCCAATAATCTAAATGATATGATGTGGTAAGCTTCACCGAAAACAATTAAAATAGGTTGGATATGTGCTGCAGACCATCATCATGTCTCCGTATCTTCGGGACTTCTACCCAAGTCGCCTGGATTAGACAGCACAGTCTCGGAACCCTGAGGGAATATTTCAGATTGTAATGATGGAAACATTTTATTCACGTGCAACCACGTCTGTTCCCAAATGCTATCTCCACCTAGAGTACTGGTAGGTACAAGCACTCCATTTGTCTTCATTACAAGCAAGGTGTTCTTTAGAAGCTCGGGAACTAATTCTTGCAGCTTCTCGCTTCTTTTAACTTTAAGCTTCATATATTTTTCCATTCGACCAATGACATTCCGCCAAAGTTTGCAGAAGCTTGACAACGGTGATAGCTCATGGAGTAAATGTAAGAACACTTTTACAAGGAGTTTCAAGGCAAGGACAAGTGTCCCTTCTATGTTTCGATACTCCTTTTGAGTTTGAGAATTTCCCTGTGCAATTTCAGCCAAATCATCAAGCATTGTGAATATGACCATTTCAAAACATTGTGACCACAAGCCAAGTGGAAGGTGAATCTCATCGACTCCTGTTAAGCACATCTGCAATGATACTAGAGCATGGTTCCGTACTTCTTCTCTCTGGTCCAAACAAACTTTCCGCAACCCCTGAACAAGCCTCAGCCACATCTCTCCAATATCTTGAGACAATTTTACAGCCTCGACCTCGGCCATAGCGTCTCTAGCATCTCGAGCCCACTGTCCTAAGCAAGCAACAGAACCTGCCATGAGATCCACAGCTCGGAGTGATCGATCAGTCTGTCCGAGACGAGACTCTGCGAATTGCCTTGCTGCATCTATGCAAAGAATAAAATTAGCTGGCGACAAGTGGGCTCCATCAGTCATGATAAATGATAAGGCATCAAATCCTGGTTCAGAAGCATCCGGGTGTCTAGCAGTAAAAGAAAGTAAAGAAGCAATAGTTCGCCATCCCGTTTGGGAACGAATGTGAGTCGCATTTGCTTTCACGAGACGACTAACCTCCTGAGTGATCTGCTCACAATATTGGTCAGCAACGCGACCATCGAGCTTAAGAACCAATTGCAGTGATCTCAAAAGTTTATCAGCCAAGCTCTCTTTATAGGGAAGCAGCCGCTGACAAATACGAAGAAGTCCAAAAACAGCCTTCTCAACTAGCGCACAAGCCACTACAGTTGATTGAACAATATTTGAAATGTGCTCATAAACGCCCTGCCAGAGAAGTCCAATCCTATCTCGGTTATTCAGTGTAATAGCAATTAGCAATTCCAAGCAGAAAACAGCTGTGTCTTCATCCTCGGGAGAGCTATTACCCTTTTGAGGTCTCCCAGCAGCCCATATGAGTGCCTGAGCAAGCTGTAATAAAGAATCAGCTAGCAGGAACTTACTCTCTGTGAAGATACTGTCAATATGACACTTTTGAATTGTCTGAAGTGTGCGTTGATGAGCAGCAAGTTGTTGTTCCGTAGGTTGAGACCTTGGCTCTTCCGTTTCCAGAGATAGGAGCTGACTGAATCGGCCCATCAGGCCAGACGATCGCCTAGGAGTACCAATGGATTGCATATGAGCAGAAGATAATGAATTCGTAAGAAGCTTCCCCTGTCCAGGTTCAGATGACACCTCTGAGTCATCTGCTGCATCACTGGCCACACGAGCAGGAAGTAGGCCAAGCTTGTGTAATCTTAAGATGCAATCCAAAATATTTCTCCAGCCCGTTCGGATAAAATCCCCATATCTGTTTGCAATAGTGAACACAGTGACAGTAGCCATCCTTGCTTTTGCATCATCGCCAAAGGCTAGAACAGGTTCCTCAACAGATGAGGGATTCAAGAGTGTAGTGAACTTACAGAGAGACACTACCAGATCATCCAAAACATCTTCAAGATGATGACATGCTGAAATCTTTGCAACCGCCAAGAATCCATCAATACATGTTTGGTAAACATCCTCATGTTCTGCATAATCAAATACCACTGAGATAGCAGCAATTGTTGGACCTGACATTATGGCAAACATGTCATGGTCAAGGTAGGCTCTGGAATCAGCAACAATGTACGGGGAAGTTTTCTTTGATTTGTGCATCAAATCAATCCATCGGCTAGGAGTCATTTCAGCAAAACCAGCACCTTGTTCAGGCATTGTGCGGATCTCATTCTTGCAGATTGAGTAATATAGCTCTGACAGGAACTCACGAGGGAGATCATTACCTCCATTTATGTCCCTATTATTGCGGATGAAATCCTCTTCGGTCATCTTTTTCTTCACCTGTGCATTATGCTGGTCGGTGTTAAGCATTATCAGCGAATAAGACAACACAAATGCAACATCTTTATTAGCTAAAATCTGCGGTGATTGCTCATAATATCTCTCTGCGAAAGCCTCAAGCACTCTTTGTATCTTTTGAGATTCTCCAGGCAGTCGAAAAGTCTCCAAGAAGAGCCTCAATGCAGTATCCAGGTTCATATCCTGGAAATCAAATGTTCCAGCAAATTCATGTAGTACCTGGACGCAAAATTCATCATGATTTCCAAGAAAATCTCCAACAAGATTTTTATCTAATCCAGCAGTATACCTGAAAAAGCAAGCCACACTTTGTGGATCAAGCTTCTCAGGTAACAGGTGTGTTCCTTGAAGAAATTCAAGCCCCTTTTTAGGGTCTCGATTGAAGTGATCAGCGCCAATCATCAACCTTCTTTTTATATACTTCCTTTTACGAACAAAAGGAACCCAATGATCAGGATCACCATAGTTCTCACACTTTACCATCCAAAATGGAGTATACTCCTCAAGATTTACTGGAGGTAGTTCTGAATTAATTGATCCATTGCCTATCCTCTCAGCCATTCCTTGAATAACAGCTATCAGACCATCCAAAGGGAGAATGTGCATAGAAGACAAAGGGCCGTTATCTGGAAATGCACTCTTAGACAATAAATTGGCAAGATCTTCAAACACGTTACTGCAGGTTATATCACAATCTAAATTCGCAAACATCTCTGCCATGAAGGTTTTCTGTCTACAGAAATCAACAAGAGCTTCCATTGTTACCTCCTGCTGCGCGTATGAAGCTCCATATCGACTTTGTGCAAGCCTCAATATCACACAGGAAAAGAAAGCTTCAAGCTGAAGCTTCAGTTCGGTTCTCAAATGCTGATATAGATTGAGAACAATGCTACAGACCATTGAAAGGATCAGCGGACTCATTGAAAGGCCAAATTGCATCAAATTACGGAATAGTTCATCTTGTACCAAACTCAGCAGTCTAGGGTGATTGCGAATGGCAGGGCCACCCAATTGAATAGCTGAATTGATCAAACCTAAGGCAAAAAGTGGCACATCTTCATCAAATGAGATAGTATTAGCTCTGTGGCCCATTCCTACATGTTCAACGACATTCAACCATGAACAGAGGAAGTGAAATATCTCAACCATGCAGGGGATGCCATATGGTTCTGTCGGTAAATGCAAATCATAAGGAACAGCATCCTTCCCATTATCAATCCCAACTGTTTCATCCATCATTCCACTAACTAGACTGCTGGAAGTAGAGTTAAAGACTCCAGAAGATGGTAGCCCATCATATTCAGAAGTTCTATTTCCATTCTCTGATTTGCTGCTGAAACTGTAATCATTATCAAATCTCGCAACCTTCACTAGACAGAAAGGCACAAAATTACTAGCCAGAAATAAGAGAAGTAGAATGCATATCAAATTTGCAAGCTGAGATCATACATATGGATAATAATGTTCCAAGACATGTATAGAAATCATTACTTGCTGTCTATTGTATGCACACGAATGAGGATGTATATTCTGAAGTTCTACAGATTAGAGACTTTTTCTTCCAAAGCTAATTATACTTTTCTCCAATGCTAAAGAACTCAATTATATCTCAATTAGAGAGGTTAAATATTTTCACCTGCGATGTACAGAACTGCAACGACATTTGCATGAACACACACTCATGGTCTAGGTCAATATAAAATTTCAGTTCTTATACAGTAGTCACCACTGAACTGGAACTACATTTTTGGGCTCATGGAGACAGACAGAGAACCCCATAGATCATTAGAACATGCTTTTTCTCCTTTGCTAGTTACCAGAAGAATGGTTCCTAGGACATTTGAAAAATAAAAGACAAAAATAATAAGAAATAAAGATGACACATACCTCATTTTTACTAGAACTGCCTCCTTTCACCAGTGACCTCTCCGTATTGTCAACATTTTGAAGGTGTGAAAAAATACACCTAACAAGTTCATGCATTGTGTGGCGAGCTATCCGCTGTAACAACTCACTTTTAGTTCCAGCTTGATGAACTGCACGGTAGCATGTATTCACAATTGTACAAACATGTTGATTACTCAACATAACTGATGCTTTACTTTTCGTGCAAGCCAAAAGAACCTGAAGTATCTTCATCAGTACAACTTCTTCAGATGCAGGATCAGTTACCTCAAATCTGCAGCTAGTCACAGCATCAACTACCAAGTGCATAGCATCTTCAACATCCACAGTGTTTAGATCCAGAACATCAAGAGTCAAAATCTTGTAAACAGATGACAATGCAATGCCAGTAATTGGTGCACTTGTTTCATCAGACCGAATCACATCCAGAAATGGCTGGAGATACAAGGAAGGATTGACAGATTGCCACTGGTGTTGCCATGAAAATATTTGCTTCCGCAGTGCTTTCAGCGACTGGATGAGGGAGTTTTCCAATTGATCATCTCCCGACACATAACGACCTCCCCATCTCACGTTCTGTCTCATGACTGCCAATACAGCACCTATTTCTGAATTAATCATACTAGCTAAAGCAGCCTCACTGGAAGAGGTAATTCCACAATCTTCTGGTTCCTCTTCAATTGCATTGATACTAGATTGTAGCCTTAAACGTCCCATTGCAAACTAATATTCACAGATCACAACCTCAACAGGTAATCAACAACAGCTTCACTGGGAGCTGCTAGAACCTGGCAAAAGCATACCCCTAGCAGTCTACAAAAGAAACTGATACAGATGCACATATTAGGATTAGGAGTTGATATGATAAAAGTAAAAACAAGAAATTTTCTACAATATGAAGGATGGAACTGTGTCTGCATATAGTTTGATAGTGGCATGTTAGGTTCTCATGCAAGCACCATTAGAGAATCATGTAATATACAAAACTAAGAAAGAAAACTTCAAGTAAAATTAAACCAGAAAAAACATTGTGGTAACACTAAAGACAATTACAACCACTATTTCAACCACATCATAAAATAATGCTTCCATCACTGCTACATTGCAACAATCTACCCACTAGACTTGGAGCCAGTTTACTCCAAGACATCATATACTAAAAATATGGTACCATCATTAAATTTCACTACCATTGGGGATAGATAAATTAGCCCAAAATGTTGACAGGTTGGAACAATGCATATGTTGTGAAATCAGCCTATACATACCTAGAAAATCCAAAGCACACATTTAGATATCATGCAACCTAGAGGAAATTTTAATTGTACAATTCTAAATCGACAAATTTATGGTTCTTCTATAAAATTCCCGAGTTTCAGGATGCAACAAGCAGGCAAATCATGCCAAAATGTTCATGGTAGACTGAATAACGTCTTTTGAAGGACAGTAACAATATACACAGAATCGAAATATTTTGACTCAATTGAAAAAACTACCTCACCAGTACTGGAACTAAAAACCTCTAAGTTGTCAGTTTAATCCTTTACAGAGAAATACTATAAGCCCATTCCACCAATCTATCTCACAAATTATATAATGCACCCTGAGATTCATATTACATAGTAATAACCAAAAGAACGACTACAATATTAAAACCATAATAACCAAAAAAATATGACTTAACAATGACTGTCATTTTCCACACAGGGTAAAAGGAAATTCCTCAAAAATAAATAAATAAATAAAATACCAATTAAAACTTAGCTTTGTTGAAAGTTGATAACCAGTGGATCTCAACTAAGTATTGGAGATCTAATTCCCACCACTTAATTACTAAAAACCAATACTTTCCGTATGATGTTTCAAGATATTCAAGAATCAAAACAAGATATTGAACAACTCGACTATTCAAACTCTCCTCAATTAATATCACAAAAAAAAAAAAATCACACACGCACAAAAGATAATCAACAAACGCGCCCAACCTAGTTACAATCGTTGACTATATTCTTCTTTCTTTCCACGGAATTTCAGTTCGATTTCTCTAAATTAATCGGGAATGCGGAAATGAAAATGTGAACATGAAAAATTGAGAAAAAAATTGAATGAATTGAGATCGAGAGGAAATGGCTTTACCTTGTTGCGGATCTGTAGAGGAAAAGTAAGAGAGACTGAGAAAAAGAGAGGAAAGGTCTATCACGACTTGTTTTTGTATTGATTTGCGCATAGGAGAGAATGGAAAAGAGGATGAGAAATTTGCTGTTAGGAACCTCAAGTTTGTGACTATTTTCAGATTGGTAAGTCAAGTTTTAGAAACTATATAGTTTTTCTTCTTCTTTTAATTCGTAATTTTCGTTTTAATTTTTGTTGGAGAACAAATTATGCACTCGAAAGAAAAGAAGATACATACGTGTATAGATAAAATTTAGACACAAGATCATAGAGGCAAAGTTTTGACAGCACGTTCTAAATAGATTACGAGATGCTTTTTCTTGAAGAATACCGAGGCATGTGGGAAAGACTATTGTTCAGGTTTCCAAATTGATATTGCTGAATGTGACATTTTACGAATTGTTTAGAGCATTCTATCAAACTTTAGTTTAGTTTTAAATGAATTAATGTTGTGCTTGTGCCGCGATGAGTTTTGGCTCTTGCTACTTTGTCATCATGGATAATACTAGAGCAATCCATGAGCTTGTGTTATTTATTTATTTATTTTTCTGATAAGTAAATGTGAATTATATAGATCAAAACTTATATGCAAACTAGTTTTTGGCCCATGCAATGCACGGGTTGTCTTATTTTGAAGTTAATGTTAGCATCTTGAATGTTAACGATTGATGCGATATTATATTACAAAATTTTCACACATTTGTATAGTTCAGTGCTTTGCTTGCTTTCCTATTAGCAGACTTTCGATTGCTAATACGAAGAGCAGGAGGCTCTGCAAGACCCACTCGTCTTCCAGCTCCTCCATAATTCAGAGAAGTATAATATATGCCTCTTGATTCCAACAAGCTTTCCCTTATGTCGGCTTCAACATTTCTTTTGTGATGCATGCCAAATATCGATCCCATAAGGTGTGATAAGAGGTTGTTACCAAAGTCA